TTGAGAACCACTAGCATAGGCCAGATTCATAATCATTTCTTGGAACCTCATGCTAGAATTACCTTTGCCCAACATAATGTAAACAGAGAAGCAGACAAATGCTATGAAATCACCATTTTCAGATGCTGAAAAATGCAGAATTACGATTTGTGAGAAGGTAAAAACCAATGAGGTGAATACCACCAATGCCCAAGCTTTCTGCCTAAAGGTAATCCCCAGACTGCTGCACAAGGAGGGAGAAGCTAGTCATAGAGCATAGGATCCTCACTGACTTGGGGAGACAGAGATCAGAGTTTGGGAAGGCCTATACAGGATAGAGTGAGAAAGCAATGTACCTGAGAGGAGGGACCTGCACAGCAGAGCTCCAGAAATCTGTAAAGGGTGCCCTTGAGTCTTTATAAACACGAATTGATACATGGATAAGGTGAAACCACATGACACTGGAAAACAATGATTCCTGAGAAAAGAACAATTATCTGAGAGCTTTAAGACTAACGATTCCCAGGGCTCACCTAGGGCCAGGACATTTTCAAATTCTCTCCAACCACAATGGAGCTACCTTGTTGAATATAAGAGGTATTCAGAAGACCCCAGAGGGTCATACATTCTAGGTGCAGCTAAATTAGCCCGAGAATAACAGCTTCTATAGACCTACTCTAAAACCACTTAAAAAACAAACCTCAAAAGGCAAGTTAACTTGCAATAACTTAACTTCCTGCCAGGAAAAGTCTTCAAGGGAACAGAACAAAATCACACCTGAAAATAACAATATCCAATCAAAAACTGTAAGACCTATGTATGACAAAGCAGAAAAATGTGCCCTATAACTAGAAGAAAAATCAGTCAATAGACACACACCCAGAAATTACAGAGATGATGGAATTAGCAGAAAAGGACCTTAAAAATCACTGTTACAAGTATGTCCCATTGGCTCAAAGGTGTAAAGGAAAATACAAACATGATGAGAGAAAGAATTTTATAAGAACTGAATAGAACTTCTAGAGATAAAAAATACACTGAACAGTATTTACAGCAGATTAGACACTATGTAAGAAAAGGGAGAAAACTTGAAAACATAACAACAGAATCTATTCAAAATAAAGCACAAAGAGGAAAAAATATTGAAAAAAGATGAACAAGGCACCAGTGACTTATGGAACAATATCAAATAGTCCAACATACATGTAATTGGAGTCCCAGAAAATAGGGAGAGGTGAAAAACATTTGAAGAAACAAATAATTACTAACAAAACAAGAAGAAAACCATTCACATTGCAATCAAATCACTGAACACCAACAATAAAAGGAAATATTTAAAGTAGCCACACACCAAAAACACAAACACAAACACATTATGCAGAGAGAAACAGAGAGTTAAAAGCAGACTTTTTTTAAAATTTTATATCTATATGAGATGAGGGATGTTCACTAAACTTACTGTGGTCATCAAGTCATGATATATGTAAGTCAAATTATTATGCTGTACACCTTAAACTTATACAATGCTGTATGTCAAGTATATCTCAATAAAACTCGAAGAAACAAAGCAGACTTCTCAACAGAAGACCGTGCTAATTAGAAAATAATGAAGCAATATCTAAGTACTGACAAAAAAAGAAAACCTGTTAATTTATATTGAATTTCATACCCAGCCAAAATATCTTTAAAAAAAAGCAAATTAAAAGTATTTTCAGATAAAATTTAGATGATTCATTGTCAGAAGATCTGAAAAAAAGACATATTCGAGGAAGTTCTTTAGGCAGAAAGATACCAGACACAGACTTAAATCTACACAAAAGAATGAAGAGTGCTAAGAATGGTATATATTTAGGTAAATATAAAAGACATTTCCCCCTCATTTTCACAGTCTTTAACAGATTGTTTAAAGCAAAAACAATCAGACTGTACTGGAAAATGTATAACAGAAATAAATGTAGGACAACAAAAGCATAAATGACAGGAGAGGAGACATGGAAGTATATTGTTTTAAAGTTCTGACACTGCACATGAAGTGAATAATGTATATTGCAAACCCTAAACAACCACAAAGTAGAGTTAATAAGTCAATATGAAGACAAAACAGATTCCTAAAAATACTCAAATAATCTGAAAGAAGTCAGGAAAAGAAGAAAGACAGTGCAAAGAATAGAGGGTACAGATAAAACTGACAGCAAGATGGTAGATTTGAATGTAACCTTACTGACGACAACATTGAATATACATGATCTAAACACTCCAGTTAAAGGCAGAAATTGTCATTTTGGATTAAAAAGCAAGACTATATGCTGCCTAGAAGAAACATACTTAAAATATAAAGATAGAGGTCAAAAGTAAAGAATGGAAAAAGATACGCTGTGCTATTGCTAATCAAATGAAAGAGTGACAAGATGAGGACCAGAGTAAAGTTCAGATTTCACAAGAAGGAACACTGTAAGAGATAGAGTAGAATATTTCCTAATAACCAAAGGCTCAATCCATCAAGCTTACAAGGGAGCTTCAAAACAGATGAAGCAAAACCTGATAGAACTGAAAAGAGAAAAAGACAAATCCACAGTTACTCTCTGGAGATTTCAGCATTCCTCTCAGTACTGGATGGAACAGGTAAAGGATATGAAAGGCCTGAGGACACTATCAAGGAACATAACCCAACTGACATTTTTACAAACACTCCATCAAACACGGCCAAATACATATTCTTTTCAGGTGCAGAGGAATCAGTCACCAAGATAGACCATACTCGTGGCCATAAAACAAGTCTCAAATTTAAAGAGATTGGAATTGTATCAACTACGTCCTCTGCGGAAACAATTAAACTGCTGTGGGAGATGAAAAGAGTTAATGCGTGTAAAGTGCTTATTAGGAAGGAGCCTGCTATCTGATCAGCACCAGCACAGCTCATGGGATCTCCAGGGGCAGCCCGCTGGAGAAACCGCGTGAGGCGATGAGATATAATCGAGGCTCTAGGCCTGGGAAGCCGAGAAAAGTAGAGCAGTTCACCCAAGTCACGGCCTTGGCCTGCTGGGCCGGTGGCGGCTGCTGCTGGACCGCCTGGGTCCCATGCCCGCTCAGCTACTCATTGGCTGTAAGGCCCTGAGCAAGCTAATGACCCTCTCTGGGCTCTGCCCATCGGGAGGCTCCGGGTGGGCCTGGGCCGCCGGCCGGCGTCCCCACTCTGCGCCGTGAGGACGCCCTACCTGGCAGTCCACCACCTCCACCAGGTCCGGGAAGACCGGCGGCGGCTCGCGCAGGCAGCACAGGAAGAAGGTCGTCTCGAAGCGGCGGCCGCCTTTGCGCGAGAAGGGCGTGAGCCAGGCGCTCCAGTCGTGCAGCGCCCAGATGTCGGGAGTGCAGTCGAGGTGCGCGCACAGGCGCAGGAAGTGCTGCGGGTCGCGGCGGACGCGGGCGCGCCAGTCGGCCAGGCCCGGCGGAGGCTCGAGAACGCGGCCCGGCTCACGCGCGGCGGACAGGGGGCTCCGGGGCCGCAGCAGCAGCACGCCCGCCTCCTCGAAGGCCTCGCGGATGGCGCAGATACGGA